TCTCATAATTTGGAATAAGAGAAGAAGGGAAACAACGAGTGTATGCTTTTTTAGTGAAACGTCGTTGGACATTTTCAACCAAGGTGATAAGTTCCTTAATGGAAGGTGACCATACGATAGTGGCATACTCGAGCAAAGGCCGGCAATATGCTATAAAAGCCCTGCGATAAGTCGTGATTTTAGGGAAACAAATGGCGCGAAGAATTATGTTAGAAATTCTAGAAGCTTTTCTGGAAATGTAGTTCATGCGAGGATCAAATTTTAGAGAGGGAACTAACAGTATACCAAGATCTTTTACAGGATCATCGGCCAATGCTTGTGCTAATTGTTGGTACCCCAAATTTAAAGGGATATGTAATGAACCAAATGTAACGTGTTTGCATTTCACCGGCGCGATGTTAAGGTTCCAGAATTTACTCCACAGAAGGATCGAATCAAGATCCTACTGGAGAAGGATAAAGGGATGGGGCTTTGGGACGGAAGTACCCTATAAATTTTAAGGTCATCGGCGTAGAGTCGGACTTTTGTGCCTATGGAGATCGAACAGTTAATGTTATTAATATAAATATGGAAAAGAAGAGGACCAAGAATGCTGCCTTGGGGCACGCCGCTACTAATGGGCAAGTCCTTCGAAAAAGTAGAGCCCAAAGCCGACGCGAAAAGTCTTTTCGGTAATTAGTGATGGATATGGGGAGACCTAGTGAATTTAGTTTGGCGATTAAAAATCTATGATTAACAGAATCGAATGCTTTGGAAAAATCAATGAAAACGCAGCTAGTTTGGTCGTTTTTGGCTTTAGCTAAAAGCCAGTCATGGGCACAGAGATCTAGCTGGCCGGAGGTAGAGCGGCTTTTAAGAAAGCCGAATTGATTTTTATCAATTAGATTATGTTCATTTAGATAATGAATAATGTGGTCGCGAATAATTATTTCTAAGACTTCACAAATGGAGGAGGTGAGCGCGATGGGTCTATGATTTGCAAGCGCGTTCCGATCTCCTTTCTTAAAAAGTGGCGAAATTGTTGAGTCTTTCCAAAATTTAGGGATCTTAGCCGTTAGAAGTGACAGATTAAAAAGTTTGGCAAGTAGTGGTGATATTTGAAACTTAGTTTTCCGTATAACAAAAGAGGGTATTCCGTCTGGGGTTTGAGAAATCTTATTGCTAGGCTTACTAATTGCTGTTTCTACAAATCTTGGTGTGACGATTAGGGCTGCGCAAGTATGTGCTGGGGCGGTAAGAACAGGGATGCAACTACCAACGTCAACTACAAAAACGCTGGAGAAATATTGAGCAAAGGAATTAACAATTTTGTGATTTTCGAAAATCAACCAGTTGCGAAGGGGGTCAAATATGCATTTAATAAAGGAGTCGTGGTTTGGGTTAATCTTAGAATAGAAGTATGAGTAAAAAGCCTTGGGACTAGGACTAAAAACGGACTTCCGTTCAATATTGGCCTCGAATTTCTTCACAAACTTAGTTAGCTTGTTTTCTAGATATGCGTAATGGGGAGAATCGCGATAACGCCAAGCTGTTTCTAACCTTCGCCTAGCTCGAGATATGTGACTGGGGTAAGAAAAGGTAGACCTGGTTGAAATAGGTACATTTTCGTCCAACAGCGATTTCATCTCTTCAAACAAGTCGGCATAACACTCGTTGATGTCCATCTCTAATCACGGAAGAAACCTTGCATTGTAGAGCGCTAAAGAAAGACAGACATCACCGAAATTACCTCTCCAAAAGGCACGGTTACCATCATCCGGTCCTTTTAGAGAGGTAAAATGATGCAGAATTAAATTAAAAGACATAGAAAAATGGTCGGCACCACCAATGGGAAGACATGGTAAAATAGCTGAAATTAAATGAGGGGAATCGGTTAAAACTAGGTCTAAAATATGCGAACTTTTCCTGAAAGTAGATGGGGGAAATGAGCTTATCATTTCCCCCGTTATGGGGGAAATGAGCTTATCCTGGAGTGAGAGGGTCGATTTCTAGAGGGAGCGGCGAGTCTTGTGATTCTATCCTGGTAAATTTTGCTGCTGGGCTCGTGTTCGGCGTGTTCGTGGTAGGCAACTTTGCGATGATCGCTCCTCCGGCCCCATTTCTGGATACAAGTTTGCGCTTCACAAAAGACTCTTGGCCATTTTTCACTCCATTGGCTACTTCAAGATTGTATTTTCCTTTCTCATTCTTCCCAGATCCTTTTGGCCTTCCGCATTTCTTCTCGGAAACGAAGATGACTGAGTTGCAAGGGGCTAAATTCCTTTTGTCTGTAATGATTTCGTTAGCTTCTTCATCAACTTGTGTCGCAACATCAATTTTGGTTTTTAGGACATCACAATCCATTGTTTTCCTCGTAGTGCAGTTTTTCATCGCATCTTTAGAGATTTTCTTTGTGCACATCTCTATTTCTTTCCTTGAATTTTGTTGGATCAGAATGCCTGTTTGAATGTATCGATAAGTCCACGGCAGAAACCAGGATCCGAATCTTTTGAAAGAAGAGATCACATTTGAGACAGTATGTGAAGAGGCGACGATTACCTTCATGGGACGGGGCTTAAACTTGTTGAAGACTCCCATGCGATATGAATGTAGTAAAATACCATCAATTCCATAGCAGGCAAATTATTTTCTAGCATCAACCGGTCGTAATTTCTTTTTAACATAGGTGAGAAGAACAGAGAATGGATGACCTCGGATAGACCATCAATAACGATGTGGTAGTCGGAGCTAAGTGATTTCGCAAACTCAACAGAGGAGACGAATGATGGCACAATTATTGTTGGTGAAGAAAGAGGATGAGATGGATGGTTGAGTGAGCGCAAGTTAGATCTATGAGATGGCTCATCTCGTTTATTTGGTCCCACTTCGGTCCACTTGTTCCCGCCATGACGACCATTTAGGGCTGCCGGCGCTGGATGAGACATCGCATTGCGGTCGATCATCTTGCGGTGACACACCTCAAACTTGGGTAATTAAACCCACGGAAAATAAATGGAAAGGAGGGGAAAGCCCGATTTGTTTAGTGATCAAATGTTAACCAAAAACAATCCATATTCATTTCAGCGAAAACTGCTACAAAATAACAATGATTTGGAGCAAGAAATGGAATGAGGACACTCGGATTTCCTAAATAATTTACCAATACTGCCAGGATTAGAGAGCTTGTTTTAGTGACTATTCCCCACAGTAATGCCTTTTTCAGTCGTTTTCGAAATGGCAGGCTCTTTGTGAGAAAATAATTCGTTTGACTGATAGTTCTTTGATAGAACCTAAAGTCGATTCTCGTTGATCTCTATTATAAAGGCCTTTAGTCACTGTGGCTTCTATGCTTGACTCATTATTTTTTCATTTTTCAAGCAAATACTTGTAGGCTTTGTTGACATTTTCTTGATTCTTCTCGAAATTTCATCAACATTTGATGAGCCTTAAACAAACTCGAGTCTAGACCCCTTTTCGTTGCAGCTACGATCATCTTCGGCACTCATTAAAGCTGCCTCGATGATTTCCATTTGTCGAGTCATTTCGGGTAGCTCATTAAGCAAATCTATAGAAAAACTAGTCAATGGAAGGAGAATTCATCTACCTCGAAATCGATTTTTCTGTTTGTTGACGTAGTACCTGGCATAGGTATGTGTACAAGTTGGACATTTGCCTTGATAGGCATTTGAATGCTTATAAGTTTCCGGTCGTGTCTTCAAACAGCATTCCATGCAAATCGAAGCCCACGTTGAAGAGCAAACGATTTCTTCAAACGACTGAGAAGGTTTTTCGGTTGTGCAGTTTGACTGACTCAATAAATTTGAAACTAGACTTTTCTTGTTTTGAACGGCCCAAAGAGCCGAAACGAGGTTTTGAAGACGCTGTCGGGTAGGAGACCAGACCGTCCATTTCCCATTTGGCAGCTCCAAAACTGAAATGTGTTTATTTCTGAAGCAAGGAAAAAAAAGAAATTTCCACAGATTGATAGAAAGATGTTTGAATTAACTATGCATTGGAAACAAATAAATGAATAAATATCGATGATTTCGGATTTCCATGATGATTTCAACTTTTTCCAGAATAAGCCGCACTTTTGTGTAAATAACTTCAATAATCTCAGCCTTCCATTCATGTTCCAAAAGTTTTAATCTTATTTTATTATTTAACTTTAAATACCCACCTTCATCTTTCAACAAGCCTAACACCTCACATGCAATTTTTAAACCGAGTTTGCATTTGCCAAGATAAGAATGATATGTTTTTGAATAGGTGGAGTCTAAATTCTTTAAGTTTAGCATCTCAAACCAGAACCCAGTTCATATATAAGAAGGTGATTCATGATCATTGTTTGAAAGCATCTCTCTTCATTACGATCATTTAATAACTACTCACAATAATAAATTTTTCATTCAAGCCCACAGGGGTTTCTGCTTTTTCTCATCTCCGAAAAATCTCCGCCTAAAGAACCAACAGTGAAAACAAAAAGGGAAAAAAACTCAAAGACAAATCGACGAGTTGAGGGACGAGAAGAGCGACCTTCACGAAGAATTGTCAGTTTCCTCATGCTGATGTCCATTGATATTCAACACGTTTTTCTAATAGTCTATTCAGGAGCGACGAGAAAGCAAAATACTTGCAGCTTCAAGCGGAATTCTGGGTTTTTGGGAAAACATTTTACATGAGATTTTGAAGAAACAATTCAGAAATAATGTGCAGTTGTGTGTTTTCAGAAGATTGAATAAAATGGGATTTATTGGTTTTTGTCCCACAGAAAAGAACATAAGGAACTTATCAGAGTTGAGAGCGAATTTTGCAGATAAAACGAAGCAGACGGGCAGGAGTATAGACCCGCCATTTCCCATCGGAGCTATGAAGCTGAAATGTGTTCATTTCTGATCGAAATCCTTTGATATAACACTTTGCCTTATTTTTAAAAAGAAATCTCCTAAGATTGATCCAAATATTTTTGAATCAAATTATGCAAAAAAATATGGAAATTGGAATAAATATCGATGATTTCACGTTGAAAATCTCACATAAGTGTGGGTGTACGAATTGGTATCCGAGTCTTCCGGATCCCAATTGGTGAAATCCACCGAACTTCCATCCGTCCATTCAAAAGCATTTTCTTTGTTCGAATTGCCCTGAATAAAGAAATTTTTATGTTTAGGCTTTGATATTTCGATCCAATTTTCCTTTTTTCTTCTTGAAATTCTTCTAGTTACCCAATTGAAACCATTATTTCTATCAAAGAACTATCAGTCAAACGAATCATTTTTTCACAAAAAGCCTTCCGGAAATGGCTGAAAGAATCATTAGTTTCTATATATTTATTTATGTCTTTCAATAAGAAAAATTCAACCTTCAGTCCGATCCAGAACCCATGAAAGGGATGAACAGTTTTCGCTGAAATAAAAATCGGTTGTTCTTGGTTTATAAAGCATAAATTTCTACGAAAATCATGAATTTTCAAAATTGAATCATTTCGATTTCTTACCGAGTTTCTGAACCAAATCGTTCTCTTCCTCACTTTGAATCGTGACTAAATGGCCCTTTCGGCTCGCACAATATGCCTCGGCTTGATCAAATGTCATTTCTTGAACGATAACCTTGAGATGAAGCTAATCCTGGTTCACAACATCCACCAAACCTTGTACCAAGAAGCGGTTTTTGCCAAATACGACCATCCATCCGGATCCAAGGCCAAAGTCATCGTTCGTATCCTGAATTCTTTCGAAAAACTTTACTCCAGATTCTTTAGACAAATACTCAATCTATTTCCTTAAAAAAACGCATAAATCTGCTCACAGCCTCTTGATTTCGGCCATTTTGTTTTCTCTTTTAAATTATTAGGAGGGGAGTTGATTCGATTGAGTGGAATGACTGTTTTGGGAGTGAAAAAACTGCTTTCTCAAGTCTCAGTCGACAAGAGAGACCAAATAAACTCACATTTGGGTTTCAAAGCCAGAGATCTTGCTCTGCAACGCGTTGATTTTCCCTTCGAGCTCTCCAATCTTGGCTTTCCCGTCTCTCACTTCCGTATTTTGAGTTCTTCTGAAAAAAGTTCGGATGTTTATTATAAGTGAGCTCGTCAAAAAGAAAATTGCAAAATTAGTACAATTGTGCTACGAGATCGTCGTTCTTCCTTTTCGTCTCGGCGATTCTCCCCATTAAATTCGCCTCGATTTGAGCCATTTTTGCTGTCAATCGACTCATCTCGACGTCTTTGTCCTTCGTTTCGTTTCGCTTTCTTGCGCTGAATACTCAAATTACTCACTACTCAAAATCCAAAAAAGATGAGCTTGAATTCTTCAAGATTTCTTGATTTCACCCACATTTCCGTGTGGAGTTCGCAGATTTTTCCTCGAGTCTCGACGAGTTCTTGTTGGGTTTCATTCCTGAAAAGTCTTGTCATTGAGACACTCAAGCCATTTCTGGTTTATTCTATCAATTTCGCTTTTCTCTCAAAACACTTCTTTGACAAGATCTCAAACTATTTGAAGCTATTTGAAGGACGGTATCTTTACTGCTGAAATCTAAGATCATCGAAAAATCTCTTTTTAACCAACTTCAAAGTACGACGATCACCAAACAGAATTTCATCTCGATCTATCGAAGATCTGAATGGTTGAAAACATAGCTATTTGAAGGGAAAAGAATACGTGAATTGATCCACTTGACCGCTTTGTTGAATGGACGATGAAATTTGATGGAAAAGGAGGAGAATCGTGATGAATAGACGGACGGCCATCACACCCTTCCTGCTGAATTGGATGATTCGTTTTGAATACGGGGAATGGGAAGAACGAATGGAGGGACGATCCGATAAACAATTGTTGTTTAAAAAGAGCTTTTGAGGGCTCTGAAATTGTTTAGGAAAGCGATTTACTCATTAAGCCGTTGAAACAATCGCTTCGAATAGAACTTCGTGCAAAAAAAAGTAGCATTTCGGGAAAAACAAAGCCGTCAGTTCGGGTGAAGTTGGTGAGTGAGAAAACGCGGAGTTATCAGGAGACTACTTTCGGGGAAGGTTAACTGAACCGACCGTTCCCATCAAATCGCCACAATTGTTCCTCAATCCCCGCGGGGAAGCTATCTATCTCCCCCGGCGTAAACGATTTTTCTTAGAGCCTTTTTGACTTCTCCAACTTCAAAATTGAAAGCTCCTCGAGGTGTGATCATTCGGATTGGTGTTTTGGTTGTTCTATCTTTTTTAAGTTGTTTTGTGTTAAAGCAGATCAAAAAGCATAGCTAAACAAAACTTCTCTAAAACGGAGACTGCTCAAGGCATTAAAACCTAGAAAAAGAGAAAAGACAATCAGCTACCAGACTCGAACCAGAGAGCCCCGGCTTTGCCTCCCGGAACCAGCATCATGATCAGGAAATTTATCGAGGGCACTGGGACTGAGAAGCAGAAATTTGGAGAGATTTTGAACTTGAGTGCTGTCAGTTCGGATGATGAGTAGCTTTCTCAGATCAAATTGCTCAAATCGAACTCGAGACAAAGAAAGAAGATCACAAAAATCTTGAGACACCGAGGCATCAGGATGATGAGGTTGGTTGTAGAATCTCCGGAATCTTCCTTTCCCTCCTCGATGTCTTCAGAGCATCTCTCCTTTTTCCAAATCTCCAGAAATGCCCGAAAGGACTGAGGAATGGCCTGAAAAGAGTGTCAAAGGCATAGAAGAACCGGCCACCTCCTTGAAGAATTCGCCCAGCTCGAATTTGTGGCTTTTTCGCCAAATCTTTGCTGGTATGAAAAAAAGTCTTTAATTTCATTTTGAGTTTTCTCGAAGAACAAGTGAAAATTAAAGGAAAAGGCTACTAAATAAGCAGAATTGATGAGAAAATCAAACAAGAAATTTGTTGCCAAGCAAAATGCAGGTATCTTACCAAATAAGGAGAAAAGAGGAGAATGGGCATTCCTTTAGTCATCATTCGTCAACCAACAACAATCAATATTCATTTCAGCGAAAACTGAAAACGAAAACTTCGGCACTCATTGAAGCCGCCTCGACTCTTTCCATTTGTCGAGTCATTTGGGGTAGCTCATTAAGAAAATCTATAGAAAAATTAGTGAGTGTAAAGAGAATTCATCTACCTCGAAATTGATTTTTCTGTTTGTTGACGTAGTACGTGGCATGGGTATGTGTAAAAGTTGGACATTTGACTTGATAGGCATTTGAATGCTTACAAGTTTCCGGGCGTGTCTTCAAACAGCATTCCATGCAAATCGAAGCCCACATTGAAGAGTAAACGATTTCTTCAAACGATTGAGAAGTTTATTCGGTTATGCAGATTGACATTGGAAACAATTAAATGATTAAATATCGATGATTTCGGGTTTACGTGTTTCGTATAAATAACTACAATAATCTCCGCATTCCATTCATGTTCTAATAGTTTTAATTTTGTTTTATGATTCAACTTTGAATACTCACCTTAATCTTTCAATGAGCGTAACACCTCACTTGCCATTTTTGAGGCTTTATCGCCTGGACCGAGTTTGTCAAGGATAGCATTGATAGAATTTTGAATAGGTGAAGTCTGAACCCTTTAAGTTTACAATTAAAGAAACGTGGAGTTGTTAATCGCCGATGTATCATTGCAAGCATCTAAGTTGTGGAAAATGAATTGAATTGATCTCGAAAAGCTACCTTCTTGGCCAATTTATATTCTAGATCGGTTGGATTGAAAAAGTGATACCCGACGGTCTTCTTTTGCATAACTATTAGGTTGTTCGGACATAAGCGTGCGTTTTAGTCGTTGACAAAATTTATCTTAGGAACAGAAAGAACACAGTTTATTGATCTAAATGTATTTCTGGGTGATCCAAAGAGGTTCATTCGGTTTACTTTGGTAGATAGTTTCAGTCATTAGACCGGCACCCTCTATGAGAAAGGCACCCTCTAATAGAGCGACACTCTAAAGGGGTATTGAAAACTAGAGCGGCAGGCCGGTCTAATAGAGGATTTACGGTCTTTTCTTTAGACAACTTTATCATTTTGAATATTCTTTTGAATTTGATGTCTTGATAATCTGTTATTCAAGAACTTTCAATCAAAACCGACCCAAATGATTAGCAATCATCATGAGTTAGCATTTCAGGCAATCTTCAACCCGATCAATTCGACATTCCAGATGATGCTACATTCAACACCGAGACGCGCCAAGCGAGAAAGAGTTCAGAGAGGCCCATTCGGGATTGCAAATACGAAACAAGTACTCGGTTTGTTGGAGGTTGAGAGTTGAATGAGAATATGTATTTAAAGGAGATCGAAAAGGAATTCAAGCATTTCCTCCAAAAAGATAGCAGAATCGCAGCCGTAAGTGGCGATTTTCAATTCGAGAGTTACGAGCTGTTCATTCAAAAGCATTCCATTTGTTCGGATTTCCTTGAATAAAGAAATTTTTATGTTTAGCCATTGATATTTCGATCCGATTTTCCTTTTTTCTTCTTGAAATTCTTCTAGTTACCCAATTGAAACCATTATTTCTATCAAAGAACTATCAGTCAAACGAATCATTTTTTCACAAAAAGCCTCCCCAGAATGGCTGAAAGAATTATTTATTTCTATATATTTATTTATTTATTTCGATAAGAAAAGTTCAACCTTCAGTTCGACCCAGAGCCAAGAATCCGAATGAAACGTTACATAGCAAGGCAAGCATTTCCTGAAACGCCCTCCTGAAAAATTGCTTAAATGATTTTGTATGTTTTTATGACGAAAAAGAGGTAAAATAATGAGTTGAAGAGAGGGGGCGTTGAGCTAGTATCAACAAAATAAAAAAAATCTTTAAAAAAGGTGTAAGCTTTAGCGCCGAAAATTTCTCAAAATGCCTTCGGATACGCATTTTATTTCAAAAAATGCAGACGTTCATCTTTTAGCTGAATATCTTTAACTTCTAGTGGTTTAAAAAAGTTCAGTCGAGCAATTATTTTATTATTCGCGTACTCTTGAATTAGCCAATCTTACATTTTTACGCCTTTCTTTTCCTGTCACCCTTTCTCTTCTATCGTGCAAAAACCACACTGTCCCTTCATAAAGCGCCTAGTTAGATGCCTGTCCTGTATTCGAATCCTTTTTTCCAAAAATTATTCCGAAAAACCGTTCTTTTTGTTTACGAGGACTCCTTCCCGCGTCAATCTTGCTCTTTTTAACGTTTTATCTACTTAAATTCGTTTTTAATTTTGTTCTCAGAGAATGTCGGTTCAACCAGTCAAGCCAAAGCCGTTCCTCAATGGGCTCGCCGAAAAGCCAGTTGTGTGCAGATTGAAGTGGGGAATGGAATATCGAGGCGTCCTCATCTCGGTCGACGGTTACATGAATGTCCAGGTGGGGTTGTCTTTGTGTAAAGTTTTTATGGCACTCGGAAAGTTGATCGGCTAGTTTTCATTATTTATCATTTTGCCAATTTGTTGAGTGTATAACGCTATTATTGAGCTCTTCCGTATTTTTATGAATAAAGTTTGATTTGTTGAGTTGATGGGACCGTGGCCATGGGGACCGTGAACATTCACCAGAAAGCCGCAGAGGTGGCGACCACTCACCGAAAAGGCGAAGACAGTTAGTTTTTAAAATTGTCTTTGTTTACAGCTGATTTAGGTCACCATCCCCTAAACGTAAAGCTTCCCCAGAAAGGCGAAGACGCTAATGGAGCTTGCACCTTTTTTCGTGAAAATTATTTGGATCTCGATCACCAAAGCCTCATGCCAGTCCTGAACTGCGGGAACGATTAGTTTAACCTGGGGCAACCCATTCAGTATTAGTGATTTAGGATTTAGGTAGTTTAAAATCCAGGTAATGCTTCAAATGGTAACGTGGCCAAAGAAAAGATTTCGGATAAATCGGGTGAGCAATCTGAACGATTGAATTGGGCGCGTCTGAAGAAAAAGATCCACGGTCTCGTCAATCAAGTCAACGCCAGCAATCTTGTCGGAATTGTGCGAGAGCTTCTTCAAGAAAACATTATTTGTGGAAAGTTTGTTTTTTAGCATTTTCTCAAGTAAATAGAATCTTAGGGGTATGCTGACTCGATCGATAATTCAAGCACAAGCCTTTTCTCCAACATTTTCACATGTAGACGCCGGTTTGGTTGGAGTGATTAAGTCCAAGTTTCCTGTTATTGGTGAATTGACACTTAAGTATGTTTCACAGTTTTAGGCTTTAGAAATTATGTATTTAGGCGTTTGATTGTGCAGTTCAAGCGATCTGTTCGTAGAAACTACAAAGCAACAACGGTGACTGTCAGTAAATTTCAATTGATCAATCAACAAGTGGTATGCGGTTTTGCTTTGAATATGAATTCGATGCATATTTAGGCTCACGAGTTGCTTGCTCTTGAGATCATGCTTTTGATGCTTAAAACACCAACGGAAGATTGAGTGGAAGTGTGTATTGATTTTCTGAAAGAATGTGGCGCGAAACTGACAGAGGTTTGCTTGATGTAGAAACGCTTATTGAGAAATGATTTGTTTGAATGCACCCCTTGCCAATTTTTTACTCAAGACTTCGAAACATTGCTGAAGACTTCGAAACATTCTCGCTGAAACACAATTGGATTCACGTATTCATTATATGATTAAAGAAAAAGAGACAAAAATTTCCGCCTACGGAACTAACAATGAGTCGAAAAAAAGCATAAATCGAATTATTGAGAACTTCAGGACCAAAAATCAAAACAAATCGACGAGTTGAGGGACGAGAAGAGCGATCTTCACGAAGAATTGTCAATTTCCTCATGCTGATG